TGAGCAGCTGATGAGCTACCCTACTGCCCAGGCATCTCATTACCTTCTGTCCTCCGCTGCCCTGCTGGGACCTCCAGCCAAGCTCAGTTCAACACCCTGCAGGGTTATATGGGTAATCAGTGTCCTTGAACCCCTTGCTCTATAATTCATGATCTTGGGAGAGCCAAATGGCTTGGTTAACTTTTTTTTTTCATTCGTGCTTATATAACTAAGCTTCTGTACTCAGAAGGGGAAACCAGCCTTGTGGTGCGTATATAACATTTTCTAAGGATGAAAGCCGTATTATACGTGCTCTTTCCATTTCTTCCTTTACTTGTTATGGTAAACAATTGATAAATTATGATCATAGTTTCACTGGTCTGAAATAGATATTCTGGACTTTTGAAAGATCAGTCTCCAAGATATGTCAATTCCCCTAGCAGTTAATAGTTTTACAGCTTCACAACTTCATCTTAAAAGTGACTGTGAAGCAGGAGTATCCCCTTTGCAGAAACACAGGTAGGACATCCAGAAAACAACATACATTGGAAATAAAGGTCAATAAACTTTTTGGCATCATTTTGACTTAACAGCAATTCAATTTCAACTTATACAGACTATGATACCAAGCTTTTGATTATTTAATGATGATGATCAAGTTTATAAATTGCATCCAACTTCTCTTATTCCTGTTTTTGTTCTGTTCATCTTTTCATTACTTTGTTACTCAATATCAATATCAACTTTAGGAAATAAAAGGCAAAAAAAAAATTGAAGGAAGAAAAAAGCACAAGCTTATCTTTTGTACCCATTTTAGCACCTCTCCAATAAGACTCTTTGGAAATCTGAAATGACTGACCAAATTAAGTCTCTAGAGTTTGAAGACCCATGCAATTACTCTTCTCCCAATGCTGAAGGCAATGAAGGAGTTGATTTCATATCCCAACTTTAACAAGATAATCACGAAATCCAATTCTCAAATACTGTGACTGAATTTTTATAAGATTTTCCAGCTAACAGGGTTTATATAAACAAGTACACTGTGAGTATCCAAGATCTAGCTGGATGTCTAAAAAATCATTATCTATATCCCACAAGAGTGTTTTCATTTGAATTCTTACTTGTTATAATATGTCTCCAAGGACAGTTGAAAATTTAATTAACTAAAAATAAGTTTTAAACTTTACAAATTAAATTTTTAAAAAGACTGTTAAGTCTTCTCTCAGTTTTAACATTGCCAACTTAGTTTTCTTAATGTCTCTGCCTGTTCCCTCATTTCCCTCTCGCTCACAACTATCACTGACCCAGATCTCCACCACCAGATTTGTACGTGGCAAAGAACGGGGAAACACATGGAGAACAACGAAGGGTGAGGAGAGATAAACAGAGCCAACAGAAACTTTTACTGGGGCCAGGGTTTAGAGATTAAGCCACAGGCTAAACACAAAGCAGCCAAATCACTTATTCTGCAGTTAGTGGAATTTTCTTCTTCAATGTCAAGAGGCTGGAGCCAAACTTTAGAAAGTCACAGTTTTCCCAAGACTTAAGAGAAAGATAGCCTTGATCACGCACATTTTCTTGGAATGCTTGTACGTTAGAACTGATGATCTTCCCCTGGATGGACTTCCAGGCCAAAATGCAATCAGGTTTAGGAGCTCCTGGCTCCAGTTACAACTGCAAATTAGGTAAATATAGATTTCCAAATGACATCTTCAACCTGCCAGTACATTTTCTGCCACCCACCTCCCCAACTGCCCTAACGCTGAGATTCCAATGACTACTCCATATTTTTTGAGGTAGTGTAATGAAAGATTTTCTCAATCTCTGAAGCACAAGGGAAGTTACGCAGGGGTCAAAATGTATTATGTAAATGTAAAGTTTAAAAATGTGTTACAGGTCATGCAAAAAAATATGACTTTCCCTTTAGGGGAGCTATTATAGGTTTTTTAAGCAGGATAATGATAAGACCAGATTTAGTTTAGAAGGATAGTTCTGCAGATGGCAAATTCTTCCAAAATAATGTATAAATTCAATACAATCAACATAAAAATCTCAACAAGTGTTTTTTGAAACTTGATCCAATGATGCTAAATTTTATTTGAAAAATAAAATGTGGGAGAAATAGTAAACCTCTGCCACACACGAAAGTAAATAAACAAATAAGGAGCAAAGAGGAGGACTTGGCCTATCAAATATTAAAACCTATTCAAAGCCACTAGATTAAAAATAACAGGACATTTTCACTAGAATGTGTGGTCTGATTGATGAAAAGAATAGATAGCTCAGAAACAGACCCAAAGAATTCAGTGTATGACAGCGTTGGCACCTTGAATCATTGGAGAAAGGTGGGATTAAATTGTAAATAATATTGAGAAAGCTGGTCAACCATTTTAGGAACCATAAAATTCAAAACATTGTTTCACACCTCATGCCAAAAAATTTCCAGTTAAAAACAATTATACATTGTGAAACCACAACAATATTAAAAGAAATTATATGTGATCAAGAGCTCTGTATTAAGTAAATCTTTTGAAGAAAGTGAGACAGAAAGAGATACAAGTAGAAAAATATAGAAATATGTTCAATATAATATCATTCATGAATGCAAAAGAATCTGAATGGCTTTCAAAAGGAAAATAGTTCAGTAAATAACAGTACATCCATATAATGGAATAATATAAAGCCACCAAAAATGATGTAGCTATGTGTTTATTAATTAAGAAAAATACTCACAATCTGCTAAATAAAAAGGCAAATCACCAAACAGGACTATATTATAATCCAATTTATGTAAATGGGTATATAATCATAGAAGAAAGTATAGAAGGATACACACTGGATTTTCATTCAGTGGTAGGATCTGGCTATTTAACAACAGAGTGTTACCTTTGTATTGGAGATGAAATATAAAAGAGTTTGCATTTGGTAAAAAACAAATATAAAAGAGTTTGCATTTGGTAGTGTGAAATGAGACTGGGGTGAAGATGACTAATGATAATTTAGGAGGTTGCTGCAAAAGTCCTGGTGACAGCAGATGAGAATCTGAAGACAGACAAGGGTGATGAAGCTGAATCTGAGAAACACTTGGGTAGTCGAAAATGTCAGGACTTGGCGGTCAGCTGGGTTTTTGTTACTGGGCTGTCATTTAGGATGCCTATAACTTAAGAAATTAAATGGATCATTAATAAAGAAGGAGGGTACCACTGCATGGTAGGGTAGGTGGGCAAGTCAACAGATCTATCTTTAGACCTAAATTGCAGGACATTATGAAAGAGCTGTCCAGCAGTCACTGAAGGTACTGGTAGAAACCACAATCATGGTTTATAAAAGCAGCTGAAATTTCTCTAGCGAAGAATCACTGGTTTGACACTGATTCTAGAGCTCTTATCCTATGAGACTATATTTTCCAAATTACCTGGGATTTTTATCTCCTGAAATCCTCATCATCTAAATCTCCTGGATCATTAGGATTCCTGCTCTATCACAGTCCAGGTTAAGTAACTGCCAATCCCTGCTCTTTAAATATTTCATTGCTTTCCATTTCCAAACTCTTGGCCAGGATCTACCAGCCCAACATGACCCAGACTGACGCTATTCTCATCACTTTCCCCATTACTCACTATGATCATGCCATTCTGGCCTGCTTCCTGGTCCTTGGACACACAGAGTTCTTCCCCTTTTCAGAGCTTTGCACATGCTCTTCCTTTTGCCAGGAGGGTTCTTCCTTCTCCCTTGCCTTGTCTCATGACCGGCTCCTTATCTCATGACCGGCTCCTTATCTTTCAGGTCTCACTCAAATGTCACTCCCTTCAAGGAGCACTGCCTGACCTCCATTTCTAAAGAACCACTCTCCACATCACCACTCTACCACATCACCACATTTCCTTCACAGAACTGACCTCTACTCAACACTGTTTTGTTACCTGTTGATTGATAATCTTTTCTTCCAGAATGTCAGCTCTATAAGAGAGACTATGTCAATCCAACACCTATAATAGAGCCCAACACAGAGCCGCACAGCAGGCCTTCAAATCTGTGGAAAAGTTGTGAAACGATATAATGTGGGATGAATGAAGGACTGAGGCATTTATAGTAAGTAGCACTAGATCTGCAGTCAGAATGCAACATAACCTTGGTGAAGTCAACCTCAATTTCCATATCCTAAAATGTGGCCAAAAATGTTTACCCTGCCTATGCATTAGGGTTATCATGAAACTTTGATTCTTCATTCATTCATCAACAAATATTTCCCAAGTTCATTCATCAACAAATTATTTCCCAAGTACTTTCTGTGTGTTGTGCACTGTATTCATTGCTGTGTCCGCAGCTATGAATAAGGAGTTTAGTTTTGTGGCTAAGATAGTCAAGTTTAGAGGCAATTATGGATGGTACATCTGTTATCAAAAAGACAAGCACAGGGTGCCAGGAGAGCACAAAGGAGAGGCACTAAATTCACCCTCAGGGAATCAGAGAAGGGTCAGTAGAAATCAACCTGGCAAGGAGAAGGCCTGGGAGCTGGGTAGGCAGAGAAAGGAAAAATAGTCCAGACAGAGGAAACAACATGTGCAAAAGCCCAGAGGCAAACAAGAACAAGGCATATTGATGAACTGCATGTCACTCAGTATGGCTGAGACTAGAAAGAAGGAGTGGTGGTAAAACTCAAGGCTAGAGCTCTAAAGAGAACTCAGGTCATGATGGGTCTATGCACCAGCATGGACAGTTTAGAGAACTCTGGCAGGACCAAAACAACAGAGACAGTGGTGAAGGGGGAGGCTGGTTAGGGCATGGCAGAGATTAGTCTAGAAACTGGGAGAAGCCCAATTGGAGAGGACTCTGGATGTCATCTTTGGGAGTTAGACTTTCTGCTATGGGTGATGGGGAGTTACTAAAGAGCATTAAGTGGGGCAATGGCCACTCCAGCATGGAGAAAAATGGGAGGAAGACAAAACATGGGACTCAGAATTGTTCATTAAACCGAGAGAGAAATCAAGGGTGGCTTGAATTAAGAGTGATGAGGGTGGCTGTCTGGGCTCGGTCTTGTTTGGTCCGACATGGCCAAATGCACCAAGAAGATCGGAATCGTCGGTAAATACAGGACCCGTTATGGTGCCTCCCTCCAGAAAATCGTGAAGAAAATTGAAGTCAGCCAGCACGCAAAGTACACTTGCTCCTTCTGCGGCAAAACCAAGATGAAGAGACGAGCCATGGGCATCTGGCACTGTGGTTCCTGCATGAAAAAGGTAGCTGGTGGTGCCTGGACCTACAACACCACTTCTGCCATCACAGTAAAGTCTGCCATCAGAAGACTGAAGGAATTGAAGGACCAGTAGAAGCACCACCATTTGAAACATTGCTAGCCTATAATAAGTGGGTTAATTTACGTAACAACAACAACAACAAAAGAGTGATGAGGGTGATGGATTAAAGAGACAAATTCAAGAGATACATAGGAGAGTGAAGTGACTGTTACACCACGTTCTTGTGGGGAGGGCACTGGCATGTAAGGGATTTGACTGATACATCTTTAGTAACACTGGTCTTCCTAATGCAGTGAAAAGATCATTATCATGCACAGAGTTTCCTTAATATTAAGATCTATGCATTTTTCTTAAATTTTGGATTCCATTTCTGATTATTTATAACTACCTGGCTCAAAATAATTCTATGCTGAGTGATTGTCTGAGATTGGGGTCTCCAGGAAGCAGGCTCTAAGACAGTTTAGTGCACAGGAGGTTTATTAGGGAGTGTCCTTGGAATCAATACTTGTGGAAGGGAAGTGGAAACAGGATTGGGTGAAGCAGAAATCCAGCACAGTGTGGGCCCCAAGACAACCTTGGACAACTCCACCAGGAACTCTGAAGCTAAACTGGCCTGCCAGAGTTGTCCCATGCTGGACTGAAATGGCCAGGCCTTTATACCCATCTAAATCAGTCACTGCATACGGGCCACCCCAAGAAGGGTGTAACCTTGGGCAAGGCACTTGTCTGCAAGTGAAGTAACCCCTGAAGGGGCTAAAACTAAGGCGGTCTGCACACATCTCCAGCAGCTGAGTCAACAGGTTCTTCACTGCAGGGAGATCTGGGCAGGTACACTTCCACGTCACAAGGTGACTCTAAGTCTGCTATTTCAATGCATCAAGGCCCTCGGAAGACACCTTGACAACCCAGAAATACACCGCCTTGAGCAAGTTTGAGAACTTCTTCCCTCCCTACATTCCTTTAACACACATTTATTGAGTCTATTTTTGGTCAGGCACAGTGTTAGGCATTGGGTCAACGGTGAACAACACAGAAACAGCTTTCATGGAAATGGCAATGGAATGAGGGAAACAGTTTTTCAGTAAGAAAAATACTGTACAAGTAGCCAAGGTGCTTTTCCAAAGAAAATGAAAATGAAAGAAAATGGAGAACATGGGTAACTGAAAGGAGTCTCATTACACAGAGGGTGAGGGGAACCCCCACTACAGGCCACCTACATTCCTTGGCTTGTGGCCCTTTCATCTTCAAAGTCTCCAGTGTGGCATTTTCTGTGACTTCTGCTTTTGTCCTTTTATCTTCTCACTCTGGCTCCACCTCTGCCCCATTCAGATAGAGGCCCTGTGATTACCTCAGGCCCACACAGATAATCCAAGATAATCTCCCCATTGCAAAATCCTTAACCTAATTACATCTGCAAAGTCCCTTTTGCTATGTAACATAATATATTCACAGATTCTGGGGATGAATCCCAGAATCGCTTGCAGGCCATTATTCAGTCTCCCACAATCAACTTCCTCATCTTTAAAATGGTTGTAATAATAGGCCCATCTCATATGGTTTTTGAGAAAACGAAATTCACACCAAATGCTAAGAGCACTGCCTGGCACAAGGGAAACCCTCAGTAAATAACAGCAGCCATCTGGATCACGTGGATCTCCTGACCTACGCGCTCCTTTCCATCCCTCGTTGCTTCTGCCTTAGTTTAGCCCCTCCTCATTTTAATTCATCATAATTATCTGCTGTCTTCTGTTTTGCCTCCTTATACATATATCCCTACACCCCTACACTCCCCACCGTCCATATCACCACCAGAAGGAAACCACAATGATCACATTTCATTAATCATTTACTCAGTAAAGATGTATGGGGTGTCTATTCTGAATCATTCACCTGCCATCATCGTCTCCATGGCCAATTCCAGTGTCAGTGAGACACCGTGAGCCAGGTATTGAGTCTTATTCATCTACTTACCCCAGCATTTGACAGCCCTGGGCTACAGGAGGTGCTACTGAACGAGTTAATGAAGAGATAAGTCTAGTTAAAGCACTCTATGGTTCTGTGTTTCTACAAGGGTAGGAGCCCTACTAAATTCTCATCAGACGACCACATTCAAATTATTTTTAAAGCAGCGGAGGTGCTGTAAAAATTTACGGCTGTAGCTCAGCACATCCCCAAGAAGCATATCTGTGCCCTCTCAGCCAGAAATGCACAGGGACAATGGGGCAGAGAGGGTATCTGGGTAAACTGTCAAACAGGCAGGCTGTAGAGCAGATGCTTCTTTGCAGCTTTTAGAAAGGAGAATCAAGTGACCCTGTGATGTGGCTCCTATTTTGGTTAAGATATATTTTCTCTCTTTCAATGTAATCTCATTTCCTCTCCACCACCAAAAAAAAAACCCCACACATGAGATACTGAGAAGGGCCCTTCTCTCTGCTTCCCATTCAAGAGTGCCTGCCAAACCAATTAATACCTCCTGAATGTTATCTCCCTGCTATGTTAATGTTATGTTAATAAATGCAATTAAGATAACATTCAGGAGGTGTTAATTGGTTTGGCAGATGTACATGAATAAGAAGCACAGATATTTTGCTTTCCCTATTTATGGAGGCAGGAAGTGACACAAAGTTGGACAAAAGGAAACTTAATTTGCCTCCAGTCTCTTTCAATACCACTTAGGCCTTTTTTGCTAAGTAATATATGAGATTCTTAAAAATGCTAATTTAGATGGTATTACAAAGATGAAGTGATTGTCAAATGTTGCAAAAACATTCAAAATGTCTTTGGCCACAGGAATTAACTACATGGTATTTCCTCTTTAAAACACTATATATACCATATATGCTACATATACATACACACTCTCTCTTTCAAATGTGTCTACAGCCTATATGCAAATAAGCTCTCATGTTAATCTATGAAGCCAATTGTTCCAGAGGACTAATTTCTAGACTATTCTTGATGTAATTAGTTATTTAATATATTCCAGGGACTTAGAGTTAATGTTCTTTTATTCTAATTTACAATGAGATGGTAGCTTTTACTTTTTGTGTTTAAAAAAAAAAAATATATATATATACACATACCAGTGTACCTGTTTCTGTGTGTGTGTGTGTGTGTGTGTGTATACCAGTGTACCTTATCTGGCAAAATGGAAGTTTTCTCTGAAATTTATATTTACACAAATATAAATCTGTATAGACTTGAAACAAAGAGATGTTACATTGTATCGCCATCAAGGTCACTGTGCTCATTTCTGGAACCTGGCATCCGCCAGCACATCACATGGCCTTTGGCAGGCTCAGTCATCCCAGGATCTTATTAGGACATACCTCTGATAAGAGAGCTGAGCTCTGAGAGGGTATCAGAGCACAGACCCATTAAGGTTCCTTCCAGTCCTGGTGAGCAAATTATCCGAGTCTACTTTGGGAACCAAGTGGGGAGAACTAAACTGAAACACTAGACTTCTACTTGGACTTCAAACAATTGGAAATACATTATCTCAATTCTAGGACACCATTTTCTGTACAATGCACCAGCTCTTTAATACAGGTTTTCCAGGGGGAGAAAAGGAGAAGAGGAAAGAGAATGAAGAGAAGGAGAAAGACTCCATTAAATTTTATATTTACTGCAAGACTGAAGTCCAATTCCATTAATGCTAAAATGTGTATCTCAAATTAAAGAATATCAGGTATTGCCTAGAAAAACAGGTAACTGAGTAGGTAGCTAGAACACTGCCCCTGCTTTGTTTCCAGTGGGTTGTGTGCAGCCAGTATCTGTGCATAATTCCAGAAAGTTTACTAGCCCTTTTCTTCTATTTAGCATGAACCTGACCAAGGGAACTAGCCAGGTATCACTAACACAAGCAAACCCAATTTGGGCAATTCAGGAAAGTCCATGGCTATGCACCAAATGATTCCATCTCTGCCCCCCAAATTCGTATGTTGAAACCCTAATCCCTATTGTGGTGGTATTTGGAGTTGGGGGCCTTTGAGAGGTAATCAAATCAGAAGAGTGGAGCCCTTATGATGGGCTCAGTGCCTTGTAAGAAGAGACAAGAGAGAGCTTGCTTCCTCACTCCCTTTCTGCCAGGTGAGGATACAGAGCGCTTTCATCAGACCCTGCACCTGCTGGAACCCTGATCTTGGTCTTTCCAGCCTCTAAAACAGTGAGAAATAAATTTCTGTCATTTAAGCCACCCAGTCTATGGTATCTGGTTATAGCAGCCCCAAAAAGATGAAGACATCCATTAGGTAAGACACTACCTCTTTCACACATGTGAGTCCTCCCTCACTATGCACTCTAATTAATCAATGCTTTCTCTAGCCCAGACTCTTTAATGACCCTCTACTGTATAACCCTTCCAACAGCACACACTCCATTACCTACCTACATACTTATCTGAAATACCTGAAGTCCTCACTGGGGGAAGAGGCACAGAGGATGGATCCTCTCCTCCCAGCTTAGTGCATTCGTGTGGACTTCTAACTTGACGCCACACTGTCACTTCTGAAATTTTTATTTTTTAATCTACATACAATAAAATTCACTCATTTGATGTGCAAACTTCTAAAAATTTTGACAAATGCATAGTCATATAACCATTACCGGACTCAAGACACAGACCTGTTCCTTTACACATACACACACACAACATTCCTTTAGGCTGTCTGCTTTTAGTCAAACATCCCACCACTAACCATAGAAAACCACTGCTTTGGATCTCCATCCCTAGAGTTTCAGCTTACCCAGGATGGCATATAAATGGAGTCACACCTTATGTAATTTTTGAACTTGGCTTTTTTCAGTTAGCAGAATGACTCTGAGACTTATCCAAGTTGTTGCATGTATCAAATAATTCATTCTTTTCATGCTGACCAGTATTCTATTGTATGGATGTACCACAGTTTGTTTATCCGTTCACTCATTAAAGTACATTTAAGTTGTTTCAGATTTGAGCAAGTTGGAATAAAGCTGCTATAAACATCTTTGTACAAGTTTCTGTGTGAATTTAAGTGTTCAGTTCTCTAGGGTAAATACCCAAGATTGGAAAGGCTGGATCGTATGATAAGTGTATGTTTACTTTTATAAGAAACTGCCAAGAAACTGTTTTTCACAGTGGCTGTACCATTTTGCATTCTCAGAGAAATGTTTCAGTTGTTCCACGACTTCATCAAGACCTTGTATTTCAGTTGTTCTTTTAATTTTAGTAATTCTAATAGGTATGTAGTTCATCTTATGATTTTAATTTGTCAACTCTCATAGAAATCAAACTATCAGGTAATTTATTTCTTCATGACTTTCATAATTTGTTTTTCAAGGAATTGGTACATTTCATCTAAGTTGTCATATCCATGGACACAAAAGTTGTTCACAGCATTCCTTTATCATACTTTCAGTGTCTCAAGGGTTTGTAGTGATATCCTCTCTTGGATATTGGTGATTTGTGCCATTTTTCTCTTTCCTTTTCTTGGTCAGCCTGGCCAAAGGTTTACCTTTTTTTTTTTTATCATTTCAAAAAACTAAATTTTAGTTTTATTAATTTTCTTGAATGTTGGTCTTTTTTCAATTTTATTGATTTCTGTTCTTCATAATTTTCTTTTTTCTGCTAGCTTTGAATTTAGTTTGTCCTTTTTTAGTTTCTTAAAATGAAGCCTTAGATGACTACTTTGAGATTTTTCTTTTTTTCTATAGTTTTAGTGCTATAAATTTTCCTCTACACTGTTTTAGCTATATTCCACAGATTCTAATATGTTGGTTTTCATTCAGTTCAAAATATTTTATAATTTCCTAGTAAATTTCTTTGACCTATGAATTATTTAGAAGTATATTTTTAGTTTCCAAATATTTTGGAGTTTTCCAGATATCTTTCTATAATTGCAGTTTAATTCTGCTATGACCCGAAAAACATACTTTAGATGATTTCTTTTAAAATTGCTAAGGTTTGTTTTATGGCCTGGGATATGGTATATCTTGGTGAATGTTCCTTGTGTACTTGAAAAGAATGTATGTTCTGTTGTTGTGTGGAGAGTCCCACCACAGTCAAATAGTTGATAGTGTTGTTCAGATCTTCCGTATACTTGCTGATTTTCTGTCTACTTGTGTTGACTATGGAGGGATTTTGAGGTCTCTAAGTATAACAGATCTGTACATTTCTATAATTTTGTTAGTTCTTATTGTGCTTGTGAAGCTGTTTTTAGTACATACATATTTAAGATTGTTGTATCTTCTTGATGAGCTGATATTTCTTATAAGTATATAATGTCTCCGGTATTTTGCCTTGGTCTGAAAGCTGTATCTGATATTAATAAAGCCACTCCACTTTTCTTTTTATTAGTATTTATATTGTATACATGTTTGCATTACTTTGTTTTTAACCTGCCTATACTCTATAGTTAGGTCTTGTATTATTATTTTTAACCTGTCTTTTAATTGATGTGTTTAGAGGATTTACAATTAATGAAGTCATTAATTTAGCTGGATTTAGGTCTACCATTTATTTGTTTTCTGTTTGTTCTCTGTGTTTTTGTTCCTCTGTCTCCCCTTTTCTGACTTTTACTGGATTTAAAAATATTTTTAGCATTTTATTTTACCTACCGGCTTTTTGCTATATTTTGCTATATAAGTATTTTAGAATTTTTTCTAGTAAATATAATATACCCAACTCTTCAGTTTACTTAGAATTGACATTTTACCACTTCAAGTGAAATGTAGAAATTTACCACCATATGAGGTCCCTTTCCCTTTTATGTTGCCACTGTCATACACATTATATCCACTTACACTGAAAACCCCGTTAGACATGTTATAATTTTTGCCTTCAAGAGTTGTAAGTATTTTAAAGAATTTAAGTAGGAAAAATATTCTGTTTATCCAGGTATTAACCATGTATATTGCTCCTTTTGTCATAGTTTTCTGTGTCTCAATTACCAGTCATTTGATCCCTAAAAATAGATAGGTAAGTAGATAGACAGATAGACACTATGGTGAAAGATGATTTAAGCATATATATTTACCTCAACTAATGAAATCTAAGGAAATTGCCATTGGTAATTTTCCACTTAATAATTGTGCCTTCTTCAACCAAAACTCCCAGTTTTATCAATACTGTTTCCACTTATGTTTCCAAACTTAAAGAAAAATCTGTGTGATTCCAAGCTACAAAGTAGAAAAGTCACCTCTGAGACTTTATAATATGGTTTTCACAATGATGAAAATTGTATGTTTTTTATATTCTTCATATTTATATCCCTATACCTTAAATCTCTTCTGTCTGAAATGAGTATTCTGTAACCATAATAATTGAACTTTAAAATAGCTTTATTTGAGATGAAGACAAGAATTTTGTCTCCCAGCTTTTTAATAAAAGGCATTTCTTTTTGAAAAAAACAAATGCTTCATTTAAAATTATGTAGAGAAGAAAAATGTTATTTCCAAAGTGTTTTGACTACTCAAGTTTAGTGTAATGAAAAAACAAAGTTCTAATCCATACCCAGCACTGGAGCCATCATATTTCCATTTTAGAGTCAATTGGATAAATTTTCTTTCATCCCACCTCTCAGAATTTTGTCCTTTTGAGGCAGGCAAACAACTCAGCCTTGACAATACTGACTCTCATTTAACAATCTATTTCAGTCTTATTCTTGGCAGTTAACAGTGACCTCGCACTGCTGACACATTTTCAGCGTGTGTGTCGCTGCGTCTGAAATGTTGCTATTTTCCTACATTGTTCTCCTCTTTGATCATCAACCTTGTCTTGTCTCCTGCTCCCCCTTGCAGCTCTAATTGTTTTTCCTCCTTTGAAACCATCTGAGAAAAGAAGGTCCTAAAAGAATAGTCTCCCTTCCCAGTCCTTGCTGCCAGCTTAGGAATTTTCCAATTTCTTTCTCCCTGAATATTCTGCGTTTTGTTAAGATATTTTTTTCTTCCCATCTAGCCAAGACTAGTCAAGATCTATGTCCCAATCATGTCAGACCCAGTCACTTTCCAGCAGAAACATCCCATGACCTTTGTATGTCATCATGGAAGAGCATGAGGTTTTAAATCAGAACAGTTGACATAAGTCATAATCCTGAGCAAGTCACTGAGCCACTCTGGGACTCAGTTCCCTCATCTGTAATATGGGGGTGATCAGTATATCTAACTCCTAGGGTTGTTTTAAAGGATTAAATAAATATATATGAATGTTCTTAAGAAGTGTAATTCAGCAATATTGATTTTTGTTCAGTTCAACAAACATTTGTTAGTCACTAACAGGGTGGCAATCTCCTAAGGACTACCAGAAATGTCAATACATGTAGCAGGCAGTGTTCCACACACTCGGAGCAGGGAGCAGGGAGAACCAGAGATCACAAGCCTGACTGAGAAGGACAACCACTGCTCAGTCCCCGCTCACAGTCTGCAGGTCCTACATAGGACGGCAGACTCTAGAAATGCCAAGAAAACTATCTGGCCTGTGGTGAGCATTGCAATGCACTGCTCCATCCCCCTTCAGGAAAAGAGGTGTTGTTCTAGCTACAGAAAGTGCCGTCAGCAGACGGCCTTCAGCTGTCAACCTCTTCAGGGATTGCTTCAGCTGCAGAGCTGCCTTGTCCTTGACAGAGAAGTATCTTGATGGCAAAATCAGCAGAACTGGCGATGGGATGTTGGGGTGAGAGAAAGGCTGTAGTATAAAAGGATTCCTAGACTTCCGATTTGGGCACAAGGCTAGTGATATCTTAACTATGACAGATCATAAGAGAAGGTGCAGGTTGAATAAACGGCATAAAGACGGTGAGTGTGATGAGTTCATTCAGGGCATGCTGAGGGGGAGGTGTCTGTGGGAGATTCAGATGGGGTTATGTGGACATCAGCTGCAGGGCGAAGGGAGGAGCAGAAACCACAGCCAGGAGGGCCCAACGGACCCATGACTGTAAGGAGGTGGAGCACAGTGGGAACACCAACTGCACTACAGACTATCCTGGATCTCTTCCGGTTGACCCTCCAGATCCACTCTCCACCCTGCCCCAGGAGACCTACTTCTGTGGATGACTCCAGTGGGCTTCCTTGTCCTCTAGTTTTGTTTGGGTTTAGTCAATGTGGGAGACCAACAGTGTATAGAAGGAGAGAGGAGAGTGAAGGCTGGGTATTTATTCTCCAGCTTGCTCCCTGCTTCATCCCTCCACCAAATGTGACAGCAACCCTCAGGGAGCCTCTTCATACATTACCACCTCTCCAGGTCCCAGGAACTGTCCCTCGCCCCATCCTGGCTAGGTATGATAATGAAGCCATGTGTCACCTGCATGGGCTGTTCCTAAGGCACACACAATCTGTAAATAACCCCTTCTTTCAACTCTTCTCAATTGCCGAGCTTGAATATGCTATTCATTTCCTAAAGGGACCCTGAGTGATACACAGGGGATCCTAAGAAAGTAAAGATAGCCAAACTAATCTGATAAACTAACTCTATTCAAGTGATTTAGTAGATTATCTTTCCTAAACAGTCTTCTCTGAAAGCTAACAACTCTAATAGTGAGAATTTCAGGCACCTAAGGAAAAAAAACAATTTCAGTTACCTAAGAGTTAAGTAGTTGGTAGCTAGGATGACTGTAATGGGAAAATGACTTGGGAATCACCAAAATTAAATTTCAGTGGGGCATCTTCCAAAGGGCTGAATGACTATACAAATGTGTCACTTGTAAGTGTCAGTGATGACATGGTGTCACATTATAATGAACTCTATGAGACTTAATAACGGCAGGAGTTACAAACAACTGGGTATAAAATGCTGGTGGGTTGGGGAAGTGGATCTAAAAGCACTGCACTCTTGCCAACCCAGTGACATCAACCTCACTTGAGTCCAGCAGCTGGGCATCAGAACAGAGCAAAAGAAATACAGGAATGTTAGGGAAAATTCGGCTGTCTACTCCACAGGGACCACAGGTGAGTAACATTTATATATCTTGTTATCTGGTTTATTAAAGGTGGCATTTTGATATACATGTATGGCCTCAACATTATTTTTGAACACATTAAAGCTGGACAACAGCCTTTCTTGAGGCTCTTCAAGTATACAATATAGGCCACTGCCGACTCTGCCCTAGTTCTGTGCTATCTCCTTCCATGTCCGTATCCTCTTGGCCATCTTTACTGCTCTACAGTTTATGGCTCACTTTCTAAATGAATCCTCTAAACCAATTCCACTTGACTCAAGGCAGCTATTGTCATAGCTATGACTCCTCAGTGACCCTTACATTGCTAGCTTGTTTACAGAAAGTGGCTAGATTGCAAATTTAATTTGTTTTTCTATGATTTATCCCATCAATCTTGCCAAAATGCAAGGGAAAAAATAATGGAAGCTACTCAAGAGCAATTAAAATGTCAACATGTTTAGAAAAAGACCTATTAGTAATGCAAATATGCAATACTTTTGATGTTGACATTCAGGTCATTAGAACTTAGTGTTAATCAGGCCACTGGAACTTTGCAATGACTTACCAGTTAGGCAGAGAGGCAGAAGACCCAGGGCTGTGGGTTTCTTATTTCAAGTTGACAATCTAAAACCAAATCAAATCAAAGAAAAATCCCAAACTTGGCAATAACCCTAGAGTCCACCTCTCTAACTTGCTTCTTAAGTCACTAATTTCTTATATGTCCCTGACAAAAATCACTTGTTAACGCATTCAGCACGCACATATTGAGCACCTGCCAAGCATCATTTAACCCCAAATATGAAAGTACTTTCGTTGCTACTTCCAAAGAACTCACACCAAGCCTGTCCTTAAATGCTGACTTCATGTCATAAATCATTCACATAAATTCTCTTGAATAAAATCTGCCTCCACACAAGTTCCAGAAGAGAAAACTGTTCTGTCTTCAAATATTTTTAGAGAGCAATTATACTTTTGTGCCAACCAGCACAGCCTAAGTGTCTTGTAGGCAAAATACACTAAGTTTTTTCCATCACTCCTCGTAGGCTTTGTGTCCAAGCTACTCATCACCCTGGTCATACTTGTCTGTGCACATTCAAGTTTATCAAGTCCCCTCTTACTGTGAAAAGCTCAAACTGGAAGACACATACAAGATTTCTTCTGTAATGATCTAGGCACCGTATTTCCACTCCGCAATTACAATTCCTTGGCTTTTAAAAAATAATCCTGTGATTCTATTATATGAGTATGGCTTTAGAGTCAGACTCAAAATTTGTATTTATAGATAATTTTGTAATCTTGGGCAAGTCACTTTACATCTCCAAACCCTAAATTTATCTGAGACAGATCTAAGGTGTTTGTCCTTTTTTTTTAGGGTGAAAATGCATGACATATGTAAAGCCCCTAGGACAGCACCCAATACATAGCAAATGCTCAAAAATCATTAATTGATGCCTTTGAATGTTACTTCTACTTTCACAGACACATTCATTGTTTTTCTTTCTTTCCCTGCCTTATAAAACTAGTACAAACCTAGTACCATCCATCCTGTATTTAACTGATTTTCTCCCTGAAATTTAAGATTTCACATTTACTATTGTTATGGTTCATGTGCTTTCATCATCTCTTCCCAGTTTATTAAGATTTTCTCTAACTTTTGATCCTATTGTGTTGCCCGCAGATTTGATAAACTTGACCTTTAAGTCCTTATCCAAGTGACTGACAAAGCTGTGACTAAAAAGGGACCAAGGACACAAAGCCCCGTGACACATCAGGGGGCCTTCATCCAGGTTTTACATCTATTCCCACTTTTCATCGGCTGTTTAATGAGTTGTGAATGGAACTCCTGCACTGACATCTGACACACATCCCTTCATCCTTCCACAAGAACATCCTAAGAGAGAAACCAGGCTGACAGACTGGTGCCCAGCATCCCCACATCCATTTGCCCAGTGACTCCAACAAATAAGAAAATGGTATTTGCCATGATTTTGTGGATTTATACTGGCTCTTGATGCTCATTTTCCTCTCTAATTATCTAAGTCATCTCTTTGATAATCTGTAATATTTCTTTTCCTCCTTCTTCTTTGTGGTAGGCCAAACGATGCCCCTCCCCCCAAGTATGTCCCAGTCTAACCTCAGAACCTGTGAATCTGTTACTTTACATGGCAAAGGATGCGGATGTGATTAAGGTTAGGGATCCTGACATGAAGAGATAATCCTGGATTAACCAGGTGGGCCCAATCTAATCACACAGGCATTCAAGGCAGAGAACATCTTTGCTAGGTGTGGTCAGAGGAAGATCAAGTTCTCCAATAACAAGAGAAGTGCCAGAGGGGTGCGATGCTGCTGGTTGTGAATACGGAGAAAGGATGCCACAAACCAAAGAATGTAAGTAGCCTCTAGAAACTGGAAAAACCAGAAAACAGCTACTACTCTGGAGTCTCCCCAAAGCACCACAGCTCTGCCAAAACCTTGGTTTTAGCCAAGTGAGACCTATGCTGGACTTCCAACCTTGAGAACTGTAAGACAGTATACTTGTGTTAAGCCACTAAGTGTATGGTAATTTGTTACAGCTACCATAAAAAACTAATAGCCCCTCCTCTTCCTATATTATAAATACATACTTAGAGTTGACATAAATTTTTCTTCAAATACACTTTTGGCCAATTGGGGCTTAATTTGTCCAACGCAATAGGAGACCAGAGTAAGTTTAGTGAAATGAAAGCAATCGTCAGTTAATCTCCTAATAACAAATGATTCTTATCTCTTTATTAACGCAGGTAACAATGAAATGTCTCCATAGCAAAATTGTGTTAGAATCCTTATAATCACCATGACTATGTAACTATATCTACTTAAAAAAAAAAAAAACAAAAAACTCAAGTTCTTATGGTCTTTACCTCCCTTGCACCTCTGATGGAATTCAATAAAATTAGGCATGGTTTTACTGAATGTATTCTACCCTTACAGCATGTATAATAATGTTATTATGGAAACTACATTTGTGAGCTGGAGCCTCTCACTTAAGAGTTTTGTGACTTTCAATAGTCATTTCTCTTTCTCTGTATCTCAGGTTTCATACCTAGAAAAACAAGCACATTAGATGGGATCATCTCTAAAGTCTCTTTCTTCCTCTAAATTGTCATGTTCCATCACAGTACAGATCCAAAAAAAAAAAAAAAGGAAGAAGTTCCTGTTTCTTTGCTGAAGGATAAACTGATTGAAGTACACTACTTCAATCCTTTGTTCACGCCAGTTCCTCTACATGAAATGCACCCTTCTTCTCCTTTATTTTCTCTCAACACTTGTATCTCTAGCTAGTAAGATCCTACTCTGCTTTCAAGTTCTAAATCAAATGCCACTTCTTGTGCAAACTTCCTTGATCACAGCATCCGGAGCTGATCCTGCTCTCCTGTGAAACGCTACAGCACTCATTGCCTGGAGGCTTATCAGTCTGAGTTATTATTCTTTTCTCTTGCAACATCTTGCCACTCCAACTGGACTACAGCTTCTCCAGGAAGGGGACCAAGCCCCTTGATGTTTCCTAGTAGCAGGTGTTGGGTAAATACCCTGCCTTCTCACCTATCATAACGGAAGTGATGCCTTACTCGTTTTAAAGCCCACTTCTTTCTGTCTTCAGACTCCATCCCTCTTGCGTCTCACAGACTTGGTGACATCCATTATCCCCATCTCTCTTTTTCCTTCAACTTCAACTTCTTTTCTAGCTTCAGTCAATCAGCTCAACTATATTCCATTAAAAAAAAAATCCTCCCTCATCTCCATGTCCAACCTGAGCTACATCCTTGGATCTCTCACAGCCACGTGTCATGAAGGAGTGGAGCTGTTCACATTTATTGCCTCAACTTCTTCCTCTCTCATGCCTCTCTCTGTCCACTCCAGGCGGATTTCCACCCCATCATTCCAACAAAATATACTTCTCCCAAGGTCACCAATGTCTTCTAAGTCACCACAGCCAAGAGACACTTACATATTTATCTTCCAGGCAGCAGTTTATACTGTTGACTCTGACCTCCTTTTTGAAACACTGTCTTCCAGCATCTTCCATGATATTACTCTTCTTTCTGCCTAGATGTTCCTTAGGTCTCCATTGCCAGCTTACCCTCTATTATTCACCTCTCAAATACTACAATTCCTTAGAGTTATGTCCTAGACACAACTTGGTCTACAAGGTCCCCCTAGATTCCTTCCATCCCCAAGGCTCCAACTGTCATGAAAAAGCAAATCAGACAAGTAAGGCCTTTGCTCTCCAGACATTTATATCCCAGTTGTAAAACAAACAAACAAACAAACAAACAAACAAAAGACAATAAACAAATTATAAAATAATTTCATATAGTGAGAAACTAGACTTAAAGAATGTCCACATAGAGATCATACAACAATAATATTAAAATCAAGTTGCTGATCAACAAATATAGGACTCAAAATTCAAGCCAACAATCTTAATCTAATGGGACACATGCAGATGGCCACTCTACTGGTGACCTGAATGTGGCACTCCCCATGATGTGCAGGCTCCTCTGAGTCCAGTGTGTCGACCACACACTGTGTAATGACTCAATGCTTCCACCTCTTGTCTCCATTTAAACTACGCAGAGCCATCCTCCATACATCCTGTGATGAAGTCATCTGGCCTTCACTTGGTGAGAACGCAACCTTCACGTATTAACTGCCTGTGTGTGTGTGCGCGCACGCGCATATTTTCCAAATCATTTGTCTCCAGCAATTCAAGTGGCACTCCCTGGCACCAACAAAATCTCAAACACAGACAAAAATGCAGGTCCTGAAAGCACATGGTAGCTCTCTATTAAGCTGATCATCCAAAGGAACCAAAATATGTTGATAGTCATTTATTATTACCATCAAAATGAACACACAAAATTAAATTCTTGCAGAGAACTCAAGGCCCCTTGAAAATACAACTGCAGACTTCAAGGATCCTCAGACCCTAATTTGAGGACTGTGGATGACGAGAAAGGTCCTTGACTTAAAATCAAAAATTGTGGATACACATTCCAGTCCTGACATTTCTAATGAGTGGGTCTCAGCTATTTATTTTATAGATTTGTTAGAAAGATTAAATAAAACCGCAGTAATATGACTATTAATGAAATCATGTTGACAGCATGTTAGAAGATGCCTTAGCCAGGTTTCCTAGAAAACAAGGGATGAGAGGAAGCAGTGGGCTAACACTTAACAAGGAGTGGTATCCCGGGGAAGCAGAAGAGGAAAGAAAAGCAGAAAGGTCATAGTCATTATTTTGTAATAACTTTTAATGGAGATAATCTATTAAAATATTGAATTGCCATGCTGCACACCTGAAACTAATATTGTAAATCAACTATACTTCAATTAAAAAAAAAAGCTGAAAGCTTTGCTGTTCAGCAATCATTGTGGATAGGAATCCTGCAATCTTTTTTGCCCTGTCAGGTGTTCAGGTTACAGTTAGAAAATACTAGCCTACAATCCTGCATTTCATTCAGATACTTGGTCACACTATTTTAAAAATAAACCCCAATTCTCCTCCCTTTCCCCAAATTCTTCCTATAAATAGAAAGCACAGAACCTTTTACTCCTAAAGACCATTTGGGGGGCTTGTTTTA